AAGGCCAAAGGCCCAACCAAACGTTCCGCGATGCCTGTTCAGCGATCTCTCTCGCGTGCTTTCACCGACCACCAACCGCGACGTGTATGACACAAGACACGAGGTACAGGCCAGACCGGCACGACACCCGGAAGATTTATGTCATCCTTGTGGTCGTCCGATCTCCTTCCTGCTGCTATCGAGGGGCCCCACCCGACTAGTTGACTGATTGTCCCGCTGCATGTACCAGGACTGTCCAAGGACACCTTTCCGACGGTCAGACGGTTGTTGGCTCGTATGAATGTGTACAGCAGAATACAGTCGCCCCGGCGGTGTAGTGGGTAACCTCGCAGCCTGCTAAGGGCAAGGTTATGGGTTCGAGTCCCGGCAGAGTGAGTTTTTTTCTCACTCAATAAATCCTGGTCTAGGATGAAAGCGACGCGCTGCAAAGCTCGTTGTTGGTAAACCAAAATCGACTTCGTGAGTCGCGAGGGAAGGGATTGCTATACCCTCCTCGCGAATAAAATACCTCTGGCAGGAATCGCAGGAGGGGGTCCAGCCCCCCCCCTCCTGTGTGACCCCGGTTGGGTCGTCTAGCTAGTAGAAGTGGAGGATAGGGGCCAGAGGGGCAGACGACAGTGTCCAACGATGGGAGAAAAAAAACATACGTATATATATATGTACGACTTCGATTTTGTTTTTTTTTGCAAAATAGCAGGTGCCCTGCTGCCCCGAGGGTGCGTCGTAAGACAAAATATGCCGAGAGGGGAAAGAAGGGACTTCGTATGAAACGCCCAGGATTGTTCAATGGGATGACAATGCTGATTGCTGTACACGCACGGCATTGCAACAACTAACATGGAAGTAATAACCCGGCCGAGCGGATCTGGAAGTGAGGTGTCCGGAACGTATCGGGTATCGCGTGTCTGCCATCGTTCTATACCCCGCACCAAGGCTTCGGGTATTTATTTTTGATATTTCATCAGTGTCATCCAACGAATCCATCTCTACAGAAGAAACGAGTCTTGTTAGATGCGTAGATTAGCAATAACCCCATAGAGTCAGCGAAAGCTCTGTTTTTGTACGATTTCCCGAGCAGCACACCGGTCGCCCCGGTGATCTAGTGGGTAGCCTCGCAGCCTGCTAAGGACTAGGTCATGGGTTCGAGTCCCGGCAACGAGAGTTTTTTTCTCACTAAATAAACGCTGGTCTAGGATGAAAGCGACGCGCTGCAAAGCTCGTTTGTTAGTAAACCATAATCGACTTCGTAAGTCGCGAGGGAAGGGATTGCTGTACCCTTCTCGCGATAAAAATACCTCAGGCATGAACCGCAGGAGGGGGTCCAACCCCCCCCTCCTATGTGACCCCGGTTGGGTCGTCTAGCTAGTAGAAGTGGGGGATAGGGGCCAGAGGGGCAGACGACAGAGTCCAATGATGGGAGAAAAACAAACAAAACAAAAACAGAGTAATGATATCTCCCCCGTGAGAAACAGGGTCAACAAGACAGTTTGGTAGCCGTCTTGTGCACCTACTTCCTCTGTATCATAAGTTAGGGTACCTAAATGCAATAGATTGTCTGGGTGCAACCGTGTTAGTGATGGTCGCATAGTCGGGTTTGGAAGAAAGATACAACAAAGAAGAAGCGATGGAAAAAAAATTTAAAAAAACGAACATCTACTTCTGTACCTACTATTGGTCAAAATGTACCCTATTTTGGCCTGTTTTGGGAATAAGNGGGTACCTAAATGCAATAGATTGTCTGGGTGCAACCGTGTTAGTGATGGTCGCATAGTCGGGTTTGGAAGAAAGATACAACAAAGAAGAAGCGATGGAAAAAAAATTTAAAAAAACGAACATCTACTTCTGTACCTACTATTGGTCAAAATGTACCCTATTTTGGCCTGTTTTGGGAATAAGTTTGAGAAAATATTTTGGGAATTTTTTTGAGAATTCTCGACAAAATTCTCAAAACCATCTAATATTAGTACCCTACCGGCCCACTACTCACTCTAGCGATGGAATCGCCCCCCAGCACACCACCTCGCAAAAGGGGCACCGNAAGGATTCCCAAGGGCGTGCTTGACCCGATCTGCGAACGCTACGGTGTTGGAAAGAAGTACCCGTCCAAGTTGTGGAAACGGGTCAAAACCCAGATCGACAACACCCAGGAGCTGGACCTTTCTTTCAAACGAGAAGCGAAGCGGGCGGCCGTCGCTTCTCACCCCTTCAAAGATTGCGGCGCTCAAGAAAGTCAACAACCAACCCTGCTTTTTGTCCCGCAAGTGTCTTGATTTTAGTGTGACCCCCCAAGTGTCTTGGTTTTAGTGTGTGACCCCCAAGTGTCTTGGTTTTAGTGTGGTTCACTACTATACTGATTTTAGTATAGGGGGCGCGACATGGATCGTTGAGTAGAGGGGGGGGTTGGATGAGGGCCCTACTGTTGCTTGCTTTGCCCCGCAAGTGTCTTGGTTTTAGTGTGGAACCCCCAAGTGTCTTGTTTTCAGTGTGGGAGCCACTATTATGCTGTTGTTAGTATGGGGACGCGTCATGGATCGTTCTGTAGAGGGGGGGCTAGGTTTAGGGTCAGGGATAATTCTTGGTATTTTTGCCTTGTTTTTGTCATTGCCCCGCCCCCCCCTGCCTGGTCGGAGGGGGCAGGATACATGCAAAATACGGCCTTTTTCAGGCCGACTGGTTTTTTCTCGACCGCTCATGCACGCGGGGTGGCGCATGCATAAAAATAAAAATAAATGTTTCTTGCTCAAAAAACTCCGAAGATTTCAACAAAAAAATCGGAAAACAGATCGGACACGGTTAAGGGCCCGTACAAATTCAGGTACCCTAACTTATGATACAGAGGAAGTATCTGTATATTATTTTATTTATTTATTTTTTCTCCCATCATTGGACTCTGTCGTCAGCCCCTCTCTGGCCCCTATCCTCCACTTCTACTAGCTAGACGACCCAACCGGGGTCACACAGGAGGGGGGGGTTGGACCCCCTCCTGCGGTTCCTGCCTGAGATATTTTTAACGCGAGAAGGGAACAGCAATCGCTTCCCTCGCGACTCACGAAGTCGACTATGGATTACTAACGACGAACTCTGCAGCGCGTCGCTTTCATCCTAGACCAGCGTTCATTTAGTGAGAAAAAACTCACTCTGCCGGGACTCGAACCCATGACCTTGCCCTTAGCAGGCTGCGAGGCTACCCACTACACCGCCGGGGTTGTGCTGGTGCTGGGAAGGTGTAGAAGGAAGGTGTTGGGTAGTTGGTTCATGATCCTGCTGTATCATGGATGAATCACCAAAAGGTGTGTATTACTGCTGTACTCCCTTTACAAAATTGAGTACCAGTCGGTCGACATTTGGCAAATAACTCGGGGAAGTATTTCTCCCGAATGTGAAACCGATTGCGAAATGGCTACAAGTACTACTGTGGTATCATGAGTTGGCTTGGTACCAACCACACTCGAAAGTCTTCCTGTGGGCGAGAACCGCACACCGCCACAGCACAAAGCAGGGAGCGTCTGACTATATGTTTTATAGTTGTAACTTTCGACAAAAAAGAAGGATGGGTTTCCTTGCGCACGCGTGTGTTGATGGGTGTGCGATAGCTACAAAGGCGTACAAATGAGGCATGTATAGGCACACATGCCATCATCGCGGGAACAAACGTGGTACAACCCCCGCCTGCTGGCGAGGTACACTTCTGCTACGCATGCATACGCGCGCATGAATATATGCGACATGCGTATGCATGCATGTCATGTCGTGCGCATGTGCACAAAGCCGGAAGGGGGTGGACCAAATGAGAGACGAGAAAATACTTCAAAGTGTCGTTGTGGTTGGAACCAGAAGAACTGGCTGGCCCTCTCTCCCGCTCGCACCACCAGGCATGTTGCGAGTGATAGTGTGGAGGGCCGGTGGCAAGGGTGGAGCGTTACGGGTAACACGCTGCCCGTGACGCTCTCACTCGCACACCGGCGTCAAGAATGCTTGCTTCCCGCAAGCTGCTGTGGTTATGCTCTATGGTCTACCGTACATGTGCCCGTTTCAAGCAGTTGTCGTGCATCCGGCAAACTCTCCGATTATCACATAACAAAAAAAAGGGGAGGATGTCGTTGTTTTTCTTGTCACTCCCGGACACCCAGGGCCAGAGGAGACAACAGCCGTCCACGCACAAAGGTGTGTCCCTCCCTGCAACGGCACGATACAGAACACAGGTAAAGGCAAGCACAAAACAAGGAGCTGCCCCTTCCGGATCTCGTCCGCTGCAATTTGAAAATAGGTAGAGGGAAAGCCCTGAACAATAAAGCAGAAGTCTTGGGCGTGGTCCTCTGTTTTCTGTCTACATACCACCACACACATGCAAGTCCGAAAGAAGATTCACCCCCCCCGGCTCCCCATATATCACTCACTTCTTCCATGCACGCGACATCTGCTGCACCACTGGAGGGCCACCAGCAAGCCAGTAGCCACCCGAGGCATCCCTCTTCGGCGACCTCTTGCCATTCCCCACCAAACTCCGCCACAGCGGGGCGGACCGTGCACAAAAAAAAAAACGACCCCAAAGTTTGCGCCTCGTTGTTAAGGATCCCCAGCCTGCGTGTTCCAACCCTTGCCCCCGTCCGTAAGCGGCGCACCAGCCGCTTTCAAGCCAGCGCACAGCAAGAGCGTGTGAAGCAGAGCAGATGCAGCTGTGAGCGGCTGATCTATAATGTTGGTGCAGGTAAGTGCAGTGCCCAGCCCGGACGATCCAGAGCAGTTTTTTTCTCGGGTATGGCCAAAGTGCATTCTGTCGCGCCCCTTGAGTTGGACCGCACAACTGAGCGAGCGCGTACCGCAGAGAGGGAGATACAAAAGGCAGCACCGCTGTTGAAGGGCGTGTCCAGAGAGAGAGAGAGAGCGACACACACAGCAAACACACAGGACTGTATTTTTGGGCGTCCCATGAAGCACGGGAGCGCCCGCAAACGTAGAGAGAGACCCGCCACGGTTTGCTCTCCGCCGACGGCGCCTCGGGTTGCAGTTCGTGGGGTTGCGGTGGCACTAGCCGCTGCCACCTTTGCTGGAGCAGGCTCTCGCCCTCTCGCTGCGGCCTTCGTGACACCGGTAGCGCCGCCTTCATCCTATACGCCTGCAAGAAGCATGTATTTCGCTAGGAGTCGCGGAGCCGCTGCCAAGGCGACAACGGCAAGCAGGAGAGCGGTGTGGTGGCCGCAACAACAGCAACGGCGGCAGCCTCCTGCTGGCGGTTTATCGCGCATGATGTCGGCTGCACCTCCCGGTGGTGGCGGGACAGCAGCTAACGTAATGCTGGGCAGCAGCAGCAGCGGTCACCAGGAGGTTCCGACGGGCGTGGATGTGGTCGTGGTCGGGGGCGGTCACGCCGGGTGCGAGGCGGCGTCGGCCTCGGCGCGGGCCGGCGCCAGGACGGTCCTGGTGACCCAGAAGAAGGAGACCATCGGTGAGAGGAAGGGAACGAAGTCGTTGTTGCCGGCCTATCCTTGCCGATTTTGATCGCAGCTCCTGCGGCGATTGGCGCCCTGCGGAGGACTGTTCGCGGGCCCAACGCCCGCTTCCTCTACTACTGCCGTAGGCACCAACCACCAATGTGGGATGGTTGCGCACGCATCATGCCGCTGTCACACCGCGCATAATCCCATTTCCTCCGTAACATCGTCCGTCCGTTGCGTGGTACGTACAGCAGTAGATACCTATGCACCTGACAACACCACCGACAACTTGTTGTACAGCAGTGGCCAGTGGGGCAGTTTGCAGCAACAAGAAGTGTGGGACGTGTGCGACCAGCTCATTTCATAGACAGAGTGGCGTAGCAGGAGACACCGTTCTTTGATGCCTATGCACGCACACTGCTGCAGACGGTCCAACAAGATGCTCCACCCACCGGGATGGGTGTACAGCAGTTGTGGGAGGCATTTGTGTGCGCCGCCGCGTTTTGTTTATGCGTGGACAGTAAGCCCAGAAGTCATTGGAAACGCGGAGACTCACGTATAAGGTGCAGCCGCACCGCCTTTCCTCCGACGTGCTTGTTCTCCCTCTCCGTACCACGCAACTGCTGTGGACGTGATTCGGCGCTGCTGTGGTGACGAACAAGACCGACCGATCAGTTTCTCATGTTCCGCATACATATGCAGACAACCTCAGTGTCCTCCAGAGAATTTGACATCTAAATAGGAAAACTGCAATCGACTGCTGTGGTGCCTGCCGTCCGGTGGTCGGGGGGCCGGCCCCGCAGGTGAACTGTCTTGCAACCCTTCTATCGGGGGTATCGGCAAGGGGCACATCGTCCGGGAGGTCGACGCCCTGGACGGTGTTATGGGGAGGGTCATCGACCGCGCGGGAATCCACTTCCGGATGCTCAACAGACGGAAGGGGCCCGCCGTGCGGGGTCCGCGAGCGCAGGCGGATCGCGATCTATACCGGACAGCCATGCAGGTATTGCCCGCCTAGTGAAAGCCCCCAGCGCACTTCTTTTAAGCGTTAACTCCGTGCGTTGTTGTTTGTTTGATGGTGGTGCTGGTGGTGCTGCTGCCAACTGGTGATGGTGCTTGCAGCGTTGCAGCTGGTGATAATCTTGCTGCGGCATTTTCTAAAAATATTTTCATGGTGCTGCTCCGGTAAGAGCGTACCATCCGGGGCTACGCGTACCTGGACACACTGTTGTTCCCGCTGGTCTGACGCCGTCATTGTCAGTCTACGAGCAGCACCGTACATGACGTGAGATACCACAAGCCACTGACGACAGCATTCAAGCCTTCGACTACGTCTATCACACGGCATGGGGATACAGTATTCATATCGGGTGTGTTTCTTGTACTGTTGGCCAACAACTGCTTGGGTCCGGGAGACCTGTCATTTTGCAGGAGAATTTCGAGGGGTACCAAGACTGTGCGCGACCCTGACTCTTTCTCGTTGAAGGACGTGTTTCGTCTGGCCCAACGCTCAGCAGCGCTGTCCCGCATGTGTGCTCCACGCACTCAGGCACACCGCGTGTAGGCTGCGCACACAACAGAGACCTCGCAACAATCCAGCGTCCTCCGTGTCGGGAGGGAGGGGAGGAGCACCGGACTGGAAATCATACACCGCCTTGCTCTCGTTGGCCAGCCTGTCAGCACGGTGGGTGCTGTTGGAAGAAAATGTAACAAACGATCACCTCTCTCCCCCGCCGGTCCAACCCTCCCTCCCCCCACACATACCTCAGGAGGAGATGAACGGAACTCCCAACCTGTCTGTGTTCGAGGGATCGGTGGAGGACGTCTTGCTTGAAGGCGAGGCGATCAAGGGCATCGTAACGGCCGACGGCACCGAGATCGCGTGCAAGGGGGTAGTCATCACCACGGGCACGTTCCTCAGGGGCAAGTGCTACATCGGGCAGGTGGGGGCCTCCCGATCCGTGGTCTTTGTCCTGTGTTTGTCTGCCATTGCACAGGCAGGCAGTCGTTGGTGTGTAGTTCAAGGCGAGAAAATCGTGCTCGGGCCCTAGATGCTCCGGGTGCTGCTGCTGTGTCGCACGTACAGCGAGCCCTGTGTTTTGCTTTCAATGAAGATGAAACTGTCGTTGCACCGGCATCCGTCATCTATCCGCAACGTACAGAGTCGCTTGTCATGACAAGCATACGGCAGGAACGATGCTGACTGCAACAGTGGAGCATGTCCAAGCTGACTTCTTCTTGCTTGGGCTCAACGTCGTGGTGTGCAAGCGTCAAGTATCACGCACGGTGGTGGCCACGTTGTTGTCTCCATCTTAGTTGCTACTGAGTTCAACCGCGCGTGCGCCGGGGGAGGGGTGTAATTATTCTGAGAGAGCCCTTGGCTTAGTCCCATCCGACCAATGCCTCTCTTCAGTGGGCGCGACGTTCACAAGTATCAAGCTCGTGTTCAAGTTTACTCATCTCGTAACCGGCGTTGCCGTTTGGTCGGTAAAAGTCACCATCGCGATAGAACCAACCTTGGCAGCCCCCTCCCGCTCCGGTTGTGCTTCTTGGCACAAGCTTCGCCGCCGTGCATGCGTCAGGGTACGCAAGTCGCTGTGCGCGTGGTGAAGCGCCAACCTACTGGCGTACCTGGTTGAGCGATCCATCCACTCCCTCCGTCGCTCTCCCTAATTCGCATCTGAGGGCTCGGTTCATCATGAAGAACACCCGCCCGCCCGTGCGCTCCCTTTCATGCCTCCTGACCCGCCCCTCCTTTTTTTTTTATGCGAACGCGGTCTCTTTGGTACATACACGGCCATGACCACGGCGACTACGACTACCGCTGGTGCTGGTCCTTGCCCCTCGGTGCTTGACGCTGTAGCCTATTGTTCGCTTGCCGCTTGCTGTTTCTCGCTCGATGCTACAGCCTCGTGCTGCCTCCCTCTTGCTTCGTGCTTCTTGCGTGGTGCTGGACGCTATAGCCTCTTGCTGCTTGCTTCTTGCCCCCTGGGCTCTTACCCTCTCATCAACCTAATTCCAGGAGTGGTACTGGGCGGGAAGGCACCTGCGAGACAGCGCGCACGTGGAGCCCCCTTCGGTAGGCCTCGCCGAAACCCTCGAGCGGTTCAAGTTCCCGCTCGGGCGCCTCAAAACCGGCACGCCTCCCCGGCTGGACGGGAACACCATCAACTGGGGTGAGGAAGAACAGGGGTCGGGGGGGGGGGGGGGGGGGGG